TCATGAAGAAGATTAGGTGCGAAATTGGGAGAAAGGGTAGAATCGCCCATTGCTTGCCGCGTTTCTAAGAATTGCATATATACGGTATCCATGTACACGTCGACCTATTTTCACTTAAAAAAAATCCCAGAATTGCACAAAAATGGCATTGCGAACACTCTTGACTTTATCCATGTACACATCGACCTATTTTCACTTAAAAAGTCAAAGAAAATTGACAAAAATCTAATTCTCCTTACTCTTGTAAAAAGCGCCAAACAAATAAGTGGGCTATTCTGCACTTTATCGGCGAAATTGTTTCTAAGTGCTTATTAGCTAAAATCCCCATTGGAATTTTCCGAAAAATGTCACATTACATGTCTCATGGTCTTCTCATTTCTCTGAGACAAAATAATCTGTGATTCGAACTGTGTACTTCTCAGATTAAGTCATAGCTAGTAAGTAACCTTTATCGCTTTACCAAAATGTCGCCAAACTACCTGTTACCATATTCTAATGATTAGCCGATTGCTCTTTCATAAGATGTTTCGCGCACCCAATTTTAGGAAGACAATGTGAAATATATTCGCATAGGCGATATCAGACCATGGAAGACAGTCACTATCAACACCATGGAAGACAGTCACTATCATGCCGAATAAGCCAAATTTCCATTGATATGAAAGACTTAAATACTGAACTTGAAATGTTCTGGATTATATTTTAATATAATTTTCCATTGAAAACGGTTCTGGGCTTCAAGTAGAGTACCACGTCCGGTCCATGAATCACTGTTATGGGCTTGAACTAAAGTACCAATGTTTGATGTGAAAGTTGTCGTAGACGGAAGAATGTCACACATCAATGCAAAATGTTTTACTAAACTCGCCAAGAAATTGGTTCGTATGGTGTCGGCAATGTTTACTGCTGTCTCTCTGTAGAATGGTGTTTCAGACACCAGGGTGCCTGAGCCAAGGCTCTACCTCTTGTAGAACAGTTTCATCATTTCGAAAGGTAGTATACAATTACCGAAAGATAAATCGAATAGTTTTTGTTAAGGTCAGATAAGAGTATTATTAACGTGTTAATATCAATGGAGTTGTCTAAATTAGTGAGAGCAGAAAAGTTGAGAAACTGGTGGCTTTGACAACAATGAGGTAGTGCAAACATAGGCAGATTGAATCCATTAAGAATTATCAAGTACACAACATCAAATATTAAGACATGAACTTGAAATAATTATATTCATATATCTACAACATACACAAAAGTGAGAATGCAGACAGAAAATTTGAAGTGTAGCAGATAAGAGGAATGAAAATAAATACATAAATAAACACATATGTAAAATTATTTAGACTTGCATATTGCATGATCCATACATTTAGTTGGGCCATAGGCCTATCCATATTTTCCAAACTGTCATAGTAGTAATCACAGATTTTAATACTGGGATTATCAATATTTTGCTGCCTTTCATGAAATATTTTGACTAAGTTATTCTATTATTTCTTACATGCATTCAGCATTTACAATTTGTCGTAGAATAGTATTCTGACAGACTTGCAATCTTTTCCTATTAGTTTTCTTGGTATATGCCCAAACTGGACTTGCATAACACAAAAGTGGACGTAGAATGGACTTGTAAATAAGTAACTTGTTGTCAATAGATAATATACTGTTTCGAGCAATTAAGAGGTATAGTTTGGCTTTACGAACTCGAAACTTCTGGATAATAGATTCAATGTGCGGGGACCATGTAAGTGACTTATTGAGGATCACCCCAAGATAAGGGACTTGCTTGGCCCAGGAATGTTTACTCCTAAAGTCGTTACAATGTTAACTTTTTAAGAAAAAGTAAAAGAATGTCTTTTAAAAATTCTCAACGAGAAGGCAAATTCCAAAGATTTAAGGGTCACTTGTGTTATTATTATTAGTGTATTTACCATGTATATGAAAATTTGGACCTGCCTAAAGATGAAATAATATCTTCCGGACAATTTTTTCAGGGCGAGAAAGTATTTAATCTGAACGAAAAACTATCAAATGAATTTTTTCTTCTGCTTACTTTCGCAGGTTGTTTAATTTACTTCAAAAATTTCTAATTTTATGAATATCTGTTAATATTTTTTCCCTTGGAATTTACTTTAACTTAATCGTATTGGTATATTATTTATCGTAATTTAAATATTTTGGTGATTATTTTTATGCTTCGAGTATTCTGACAGACCAGATTGTCAGCTTTGGCGATATTCGAATCCGGCCCCGATAACAGAACAGTACTCTACATTATTATGTTACACCTATTTCACCTACTATTTTATACAATATACATTAAAAAAAATGTCTATTGCATAGAACTTGGCCACCTGATACTAGATCTCTAAAATGATTATTTGGGTTAAACTTTCGATTATGGTAACTTGGCGAAAATTTGGCGACCAACCCTGCTACAGCAACCGGCTAGTTTTTGTTTGGACGCTATTTGTATTTGTTTTCACGAAGTAAAGGCATTTTTTTTTTTTTTTTTTTTTTTTTTCCTACTCAACATTTTTTCCCAACAATCGGCTAGCTGAATTACGCTTATGCTAGAACTTTTATGGAACAAAAGTGCTTAATCATGACGAAGATTAGGTGCGAAATTGGAACAAAGTGCAGAATCGCCCACTGCTTGCCGCGTTTTTAAGAATTGCGCATACACGGTATCATCCATGTACACGTCGACCTATTTTCACTTAAAAAAACATCCCAGAATTGCACAAAAATGGCATTGCGCACACTCTTGACTTTATCCATGTACACTCCTAAAGTCCTAGCTAGTAACCTTTATCGCCTTACCAAAATGTCGCCAAACTACCTGTTACCATATTCCAAAGATTAGCCTTGAATTTAATTATATTTTAATTAAATGATAGTTATTTTGTGAATTTTATGTTTGTAGGAATTTGGTATACGTTTTAGTTGAAGTAAACGTGCATGGAAATAATTTAAATATCTGACAATAAGTATTTGTAATGGTTGCGGTATGAATTCGTTGGTGACGTGTATAATGTAATAGATGATTTAGAGGTAAAAGTTTTTGGATATTTTATTTATTTTATATGTGGAAATGTTCATTACTTTTTCGCGATCAGGTAATTTCATATATGTTCTTTTTACCGGGTTTAAAGATTGAGAAAATTGTCATGTATTTCTAATTTATGAGAAAAAAGCAGTGTACATGGATATAGTGAAGGGTGTGCGCAATGCCATTTTTGTGCAATTCTGGGATGTTTTTTTAAGTAAAAATAAGTCGACGTGTACATGGTTTAGTGATATTTTAATTAAATGATAGTTATTTTGTGAATTTTATGTTTGTAGGAATTTGGTACACGTTTAAGTTGAAGTAAACGTGCATGGAAATAATTTAAATATTTGATACTAAGTATTTGTAATGCTTGCGGTATTATGAATTCGTTGGTGACGTGTATAATGTAATAGATGATTTAGAGGTAAAAGTTTTTGGATATTTTATTTATTTTATATGTCGAAATGTTCATATTTGGAAAGGGTAAATACTTTTTCGCGATCAGGTAATTTCATATATGTTCTTTTTACCGGGTTTAAGATTGAGAAAATTGTCATGTATTTTCGTGAAATTTTTCTAATTTATGAGAAAAGCAGTGTACATGGATATAGTGAAGAGTGTGCGCAATGCCATTTTGTGCAATTCTGGGATTTTTTTATAAGTAAAAAATAAGTCGGCGTTGTACATGGTTTATGTGTATGTGTTATTTTGAAAAACGCGTAAGGAGTATGGTATTGTGCACTTTTTCCCAATTTTGCAGTGAATATTTGTCATGATTAAGCAGTTTTGTTAGATAAAATTTCTAGCATAAGTGTAATTCGGCTAGTAGATTGTTGGAAGAAGTGTTCAGTAGAAAAAGAAAAGAAACGTCTTTACTTCGTGAAGACAAAATGGCGGCGGGGAAAAAAAATAGAGGGTTGCTGTAGGAGAGTTGGTCGCCAAATTTTCGCCAAAAAAAACGCCAAGTTACCATATGTAAAGATCACCAAATTCAAAAAAAACACTACTTAAAATATAAATGAGCACATACATTAAATTAATACATACATAAATACCCATTTCGAATTCATTTAGTTACGGCCATGGGATCCAAAAATTCACGAACATTGTTCACACAAACACAGAATAAGCCAATACAAAATTTCCAGATTTTTCCCGATTTCCCCCCTTTTCCGATTAAAGAACCGTAATTCGTCCATTAATATCACATGACATATCCCATGATCTCTCATTTCCCTCACACAAAATAATGCGTAATCGGAACTGAGTACTGCTCACATTATTACCAAAGGGCCAGGTAGTAACCTTTATCGCCTCCAAAATGTCGCCAAACTACCAGTTACCATATTGTAAAGATCAACCTAAATAAAAAATAATAATTTCCTGCACAAGTTATTTTACAGCAGGAGGAGATAGATTATACTATAAAAAATTGAAAAATTAAATTTCTTAAATGTGCAAAGGATGGAAAATTTTACTTACATGCAAAATCGTTGAACTTGGCTACATTTAGGACATTCTCATGTTAAAACAAAATGGCTGAAAATGCTAATAAGTTTTCACAGATGTGTGTGTCATTAAATGTATCATTAGACTTCAAAACACTACTAGTTCGTTTTCGAGTATTGTAAAATCGAGGATAAATATTCTTTAGGAGTACTTAAGTATCCCCACATTTTCCTGTCTGGAGATTAACATGTACAAATTCGGTTGAAATCATATTGGCATGCAAGTTGAAAAGCTAGACATATAAATTTAAATTGATGTCCCTCAAATTTAATTCAAGTTTCATACATACACTGCATAAATTCCGATGTCAATATTTTAATTGATTATACGAACAAAAACTATCTTTCATCAAGTTAAAAATTTTTTTAATTAAAAAAAAAAAAAAAAAAAAAAAACTTCTTTCTGTGATACAACTGAAAGCATGAAGGCAAGATAATTTGGAAACATCAAAATAGAGCAAACACCAAAAGGGAAAACAGAAGAATAAGATAACATTGGCAATTATTCAACAAATTCAATTAAATACGCATAAAAATTTTTTTTTAATTCAAGAACATTATATTATAACTAATTTACAAATTACGAAATACTGTGGCTAATTTGAAGTCTAATTTTATGCTTAAGATATGTTATGAAAATTTGCAAAGTAATTGATGATAAACATAAATCAGAATTGCAGAAGGATCAACTTCTTTGTATCCAGAATTTTCATACTTAAAATTAATTCTTATTGATAAATGTTCCAGAATAAATTTTACCACTTGAAGCATTACTTATTTCACATGATTCAATAGCAGGCAAGTTCATAAAACCTACTTTTAAAATAATTAGTAGGAACATTATTTATAATAATTACAAAAATATTATACAACTTACGGAATTATAAACTTTACATCTGCTAACGAACCCTGCTGTGAAATTGTACGCAAATCATTTTGTGGGTTTGCGTGTACGACCCATCACATGCTGCATAAGTCTCGCGTAAACATGGTTTTTGGAACTCTCTTTCCATTCCTTGGTAGAGAAAATTTCCTGTAGATGATCAGAAAAAAATTCAAAAGCATTCCATAACAAGTCATCATCGGAATGCATTTCGGCTAACTGGAGAATGTTGCACACATTTTTGACTGAAATATTAGATTTCAAAAAGGACGCACACATTTTCTTGAGAGCGAGAACATCATACTTATCAGCTGCTGTGTACAGCTGCATGGCTGTTTCTACACATAGTTTTTCCACACCTCCAGAATATATAAATAGAAGCATTGCGTGTATTATATCAGGATCCACATCAGAAATCTGAACTTGGTTGCTTTCCGATTCTATCATTTCAGTTTCGAACATTCTGCAAAATACAGAAGAGTGGGAACACAGAATAAATTTGTGCACAGGAAATCGTCTAGAATCAACTACTATAGTAACATCAGAAAATTTTCCGCTTTCATAAAGATTCCGAAGGCTTCTGTGTAAGTAAGGGTAAATCATAAAAGTTTCAAAGACACAGGAAGATTTCACAGTATCCGAAGAAAAACTGCCATTGGACAATTTGATTTCGCATCTTAGCAGCAATACATCTTCCACATTTATAGTATAGGTCCGCGAAAACTCTGCGCATTTCCAATTTTCATCCTTTTTAAACAAATGTTCATTTTCAGAAGTATGAGAATCGTCGAAGGACACTTTTGTTCTTATGAAACTTGGTTTGAATTCATAATCTGATGTTCGACAAACGAAAATGCTAAAGATTTGCTCCGTTTCCGTCTTTTCACGAATGCTGACTCTTAAGGTCCATTTAGAAGACTGCGGGATATCCCTCTTAAATTCGTGATACAACTGGGTATCGGCCGTCAAACGTGAGAAATCTTCTATAGGCCACAAAAATGTAATTTTTTCTGCATTAATACGGGTTTCACATGTTTCAATAGTACCAGGTGTAGTATTCAGAATGCGAAGTCCATATCTTGCTGCAATGACATAGAGCTCCTTACAGAACTCATATTCACTGGAATTTACTCTTCCAGTATAAACATAGTGGATCATGGCTTCCAGAATACTCGATTCAATATAGAAATCTTGTTCGAAGGACATTTCGTCATCGAGTTTCTTTGCCAGCTGAGGCCACCTGGTCCACAGCATAGCTTTATGGACTTTGAATTCTCTATCATGAGCACGTAACACGACGTCGGTGAACAAGCCGGTTTTGTAAGGAAGTGAAGAGTGTATCTCTTGATCAAGGGTTTGAAATATTGGTTTAAAAATACATTTAATAACTAGAATATCGTTAATAAGAGACCTTAAAATCAAATTAATTTTCATACATTGTACAAAATGCCGTCCATTTTTGCTAAATATATGTGTCATGATAGGAACTTGTAAAATGCCAGGTATTTCCTCACCGTTGCAATCTAGTTTCTGAAAACTGAAACTTACTTTGCAGGCTTCTGCAATGTCATCTTCTCTGATGAGATATGTTGCTACGGAATTTTCGAATGGATACAATTCGATGCGCCATTTTATGCCGGCTAAAGATTTCAAAACAAACAACGAGCTACGGAGATTTTCCGTTGAGAGACACATGCTGAAATTCTTAATATTCCATAGGAATGTAAAACTACTGTCCGCCTGTTTCTCCATTGTGTTCCGATCAAGTCCTTTATACAGCTGAAGTTTGAACTTAAGATGAGATGCAAAGAATATATATGCATTTCTCAATACGGGGACCTGGCGATTTGGCGAGAGAATTTTTCTAGGATTTAGCCAAAGTTCTCTAAGGAGCTAAATCAAAGAATATCTAAGGAGAAGAAGTAAAGGTCCCCCGATCTATGGAAGATTTCATTCTCCTTAGAGATTCTTTGGCTAAATAGGGTAGTAGTCAAACCTACATTGTGTCTGTGGAAGCTTCCTTTGTTACATGCACGTTCTTTCTCCACTACTTCACTGTAGGTTGAATTCCGTCGTCTATGGTTTATTTTGGCGAAATTTCTTATTACCATTTTGCATTTGTTAAATTTTTAAGTATATGCATCTGTATTAAATAACATTCAGATAGCTTTCGCGGATGAGACAGCATTTCAGTTAAAATTAACATGTTATTCAAATTAATGTCACTCTCAAAATTGCCATTAATTGTAAGAAGGTGAATGACACATTTCCTTGCGTATTTTCTCCCCCCTTTTTTTAAAACAATTTTATCATCCAATAATCGAGATGAGGAAACAAGGCGAATATTTAATTTCCGATGAGCAAAGTTCCAGTAAGACACATAACAAATGAAAAGTAGTCATGGATAAACTACAGACAACTATCACGGTATTATTTCTTGAAAGTGACCTAGATTCAAATAAAAATGCATAATTATCTAATAATAATCCTATTTATAATTTAAAATTTAAATTAGCTTTATACGAATGAGTGAATAATTGTTAAATTCTAATTATCTAATAAGATATATTTGCTTCCACTTTTCTGTATCTTCAATGTCGTCCGTTCTTATTGTTGTTTCTGCTACTCTTTTGGCCTCAAATCATCCGTAAATAAAAAATGAAGGTGAATCTGCAGCTGACTCAGCGAAACCGTAGCCTAAATTTCAGTTCATGTTTGCTTCGTGTGATGGGTTGGTTTTTGTATTAGATTTACATAGAGTTCAATAGTCAGAAATCAAAGGTTTAGCGTGATCCTTTGCAGATAGTTAGTGAAGGCTGTAAGTCGAAAACAAACTCTACGTGAACGAATCCATTTTAAAATTTAGGCGACGCTAAAAACTAGATGGAAAATAGTTGAAGGATAAAAATACGCAAGGAAAGACTGTACTTCCCAGTTCTCAAAAGTTTTTCCAATTTAGTTTCGTTTTATAATACTCTTTATAATATATATATATTGTTTATAATATATTGTTTTATAATAAGTTCTTTCTCGTTTCAGTATTTTCATTTTGTGTCAAAGCCGGAATAAAAGAAATTAAACTGTTGTCTAAACATGCCGCATATCATCCTTCAGTCATATTTCACATTACAGCAGTGTAACTAATCTTTACCAAAGTGATATATCTATAAAAATAATATTTGTTTTCATACTGTTCTGTTATCGCGACCTGATTTACAAATGTATGTATGTATGTGTTCATGTATGCATGTACGTGCATATAATATATGTGTATACACACATAATATATGCACATACAATGGTACAGACGAGCGTACATTTCATACATTTCTTAATCTGATCTGGATAACAGAAGAGTACCTTAATATTTTTTGCAAGTAGTTTATGAACGCTTATACCATCAGTATAATTAAAAAATTATGCTCTGGAACGGATATATTATGTACATTTGGTAGAGATTTGGAATACATTTTATACAAATCTTTGTTTTCGAATATACACTATAGCATGCATAAAACGTAACGATAGCGATAAAGTTTTGTAACAGGTGTCAATATTAGTGTTTCCCAATTAAATTAATTAGTACCCTTTATAGCTGAGCCAATCAATCGGTAATGTAGCTGAAAACTGGTTTTTCCGACCTGGTTCAATTCCAGGCCGTGGGCTGCATGGGCGTTTTCGGAGTTTTTACAATGTGTAACGCGCTTACGAGCCACTGTTCCTTAGAAAATCCTCCGGAAAAGCATCTTTTCTTTTAGGCAGGTAATCGTCGAGTGCTTTGCTATAATCATATAAATTTAAACAAACTAGACCTATAAACGTAAAGCTTGATTAAGATAACCTAATGTCTTAATCTCATGCCAAAGAAATTTTTTTCTTTTATTTGATTATGGCGAAGCACTCCAGGGCTATTTGCCTAAGGAGAGGGTAGCCTCCGTGGAGGACTTTCGATTGGAACTGGCTCGTAAACACGTTAAACACTGAGAAAACACTCATGCAGTCAGCACGTTCTCTTGAAATGCAACCGAGGTCGAAACTACCAGTGTTCAGCGACTTTATCGCTTGGCCGCTGGTGGGCCTTTTGAACATGAGAATTCCCAATGTAGCTATACATAAGACCACTGGAGGGCAAGTAAGCTTCTGATTAAACCTATTTCTAAAGAATCTTAGTTTTATCTTAAAGTCATTGAATTTCTATTTTAATGCAAAAGATAATGTAGAAAAAAAAATATTTTATTTTCCATTACAGTTACTTTTTTAAAACAAAGTTTATGAACTACTGTTATTGACGATGCAGGGGATCTTTTTTTTTTCCCCTAATAATATCACCACTGGATAAAATTATTTTTTTCTGCCGTCTGTAATATTTGTTACTTTAAACAAAAGGTTTGTTTTAAGTCTTTCATACAAAATTTAACTGCAGTAGGAAAAATAAAATTATTTCAAAGATCTATAAAAAATAAAGTTGGAATTATTTCGCGAAGCTCCTTATTGAAGATCTTTTTTGAGTGACCTTATCATATAGCTTATCTGTTATCGGAAAAGACCATATATGCTCATTTCCTTAAAGGTTTTTCCTGTTATTCTTTAAACAACTCTATTTGGAAGGGATGGCCTCCCATCTGAGGTGTGCTCGGTGGCTATCAAACAAAGAATGCCCACCTTCCAAGAAAACAACCCCTACTATACCTATCGACAGCCAGAGGACAGGAGTGGATGAACATGTGTCACAGTTGTAAAGCTGGAAGACAGTTGAGTGAGAGTATAGAAGTAACCATTCACATTTGTTAAAAGTACCCAGCAGGAAATGATGGGGTAAGGGGTGTCAATCAAATGATCTAAATTTAAATTATATTCGAGTACTATGAAAAGCCAGCTAGGGTCCTGCTGCGAACCCGAGTGGAACCTCAAGGCACGTTCTTTGCCTCCAGCCTCAAGGCCCGTTTCCACTGCTGCCTATGCGTTTCTCCAATCAGCGAGCGAATTCACTTTGATTGACATCTGCAATCCGGTCAGTGTGCAGTGACGGATGACATACGGATGGAGTTCAACAATGTTCAACTTCTATCCGTATGGATGCGTTGGGGTCACGTGGTAAAAAAGGAGCAATAATGTGTAGTCACCAAAATTTAATGGCGGCAGAAGAGCGATGAACGCTCGCTTAGGAAAAGAACGTTTTGCTAAAAAAATACTTATTTCTGAATTAACATTATAGCCAGAAATCTGCGTGCTGAAAAAGATAGCAATCAGCTGAATTTAGTTAAAAAAAGATAAGAAAAACAAGATAACTGCAACTACAGTACTTGTTCGTTCAAGAAAATTAGCGGCAAAAATTATAATTCCAAGTCCATGAAATAGGAAAATTTGTCCTGATAATTATTTTCTAGTTCTGCATACTCATTTAGCTTTAATGAAAATGAATATCTGACTATATCAAACTGCTATAGCAAATTAGATATGATTAAAAGATTTGCTATTTTTTTCTTTTGAAACAGGTCAAAACTAAAAACGTTAATTATAAATTAAATTTGATAGCCTTTTAAATACTCCAGTTCATTGAGAGTAGTTAAATTTGTATTTCCCTTTATAATATAATCTTTTGGCTAACGTAATATTTGTAAGCACATGAAATATATTTTTAGCGGCCCGTTTAACTTCAATCGGAACGCCACTTTAAAAGAAAATGTTTTTTGTAAGAAATGTACTAGAAAATGAATAACAAACTCTGGTGAACTTTTCAGATGATAGCACACTGAAATAGGACCAAAAAACTTAAGTTTTAAAAATTGATTTACTGGATGATGTATATAAGCCACAATATGCATGGAGCTCACGTGAAATCCTATCTTAGTGGTAAAGCTGATGGTAACAATGTTCGCTTTTTGGAGTCGTGAGTTCGAATCCCATACGCTTTTTGCACCCTGTCTGCAACTTTCTTAGCTTTTTATTCCAATTTGATCTATATTCGTGTTTCATAATTTATTTCTATTATTATATGCATTAAATATATTGTTTTATTTATTTAAATTTTTCCCGCAAAAAAGTTTGAAAATTATATAATACTAATTTAAGGTATATCCTGTACATATATATTTGAATTTAACAAACATTCTCTATTCATAAAAAGCAAATTTAAAGTTAATTAAATTAAATGAAATTAATATTAAAATAATTAAATTTAATGCAAACAAGAAATGATTAATTATTGCTGCGAACTAATCTACAATATCATTTAAATTCTGAGAGCATATGTAAATCAAGTGCAAGTATCAAAATCCATGTATAAATATATAATTCCAAAAAATTATTAATCCTAAAAAATTTATAAAAATGCATAAGGGAATATGGGATAGATATTAATCCTAAAAAAATTATAAAAATGCATAAGTCAATAATAGGATAGTTTATTAATCTTAAAAAATTATAAAAATGCATAAATGATTAATAGGATAGCTTATTAATCCTAAAAATTTATAAAAATGCATAAGTGAATAATAGAATAGATTATTAATCCTAAAAAAATTATAAAAATTCATAAGTGAATAATAGGATAAATAAATTTTTGGAATTATATATTTATTCATGGATTTTTATATTTGCACTTGATTTACATATGCTCTCAGAATTTAAATGATATTGTATATTAGTTCGCAGCAATAATTAATCATTTATTTGTTTGCATTAAATTTCATTTAAATTTAATTAACTTTAAATTTGCTTTTCACGAATAGAAAATGTTTTTTT